TAGACAACTAAGAAGAATACAAGTTGTTTGAAAAAGGACAGGAAGGGAACTGCAAGAGTCCACAGTGACTCTGAGATAAAGGTGATTGCTCAGAGGTTCAGAGGAGAGGCTGAACCTTTTCACAAAAGCAGTTGAGCTAGGGAGGTAGTTCAGGGGTAGAGTGTTAGCTAAGTATGCCCAAGGTCCTGAGTTCAATCCCCAGTACCACACAAAAAGCAGCTGATAAGGGTGCAAATCAGGCCCAAAGAGACACATACATTTCTGGAGTATGAGAAAAGATGTTGGGGAACATGCAGGGCTTACTGTTTTAAGAGCTACATATTTAGCACATATCAGGATAGTAAAACACTGGGTTTCTATTGATGGTACAATAGTTATATAAAGTCTTATTTTCACATAATTTAAAGAAGCTGATTCTGACAAAACCCATGTTTCCTCTTACCAGACTCACACAGCATAGACACACTTCCAACACCAGACATGCAGTGGGTTTCCCCACATACTAGGCAGTTCTCCAAAGAACCATCCAATGCTGATACTCTACTCAGAGGCAGAGTTAGAGCCCACAGACTGAGGGCTCAGCTTTCATGACTGCTCCAACTTCAACCACCAATCTCAAGTCACAGATTGTAACTGTGCTTCAGCTGACCAGCTATGGACTGGGGTTCTCTCCATCCCTTCCTGGAATTTGATCACTTGTTAGAATGGCTCGCAGAACACAGGGAAACACAACTTTATTATAAAACATACTCATGAACATCCAGGTGGATGGCAGGGCCCAGTGGGTCCAGAACACAGGAAGTTTACTCTTTGCAGAGCTGGGAGGCACCACCTTCCTGGCATGTGAATGTATTTACCAACTAAAAAGCCTGTCAAATCTCCTTACTCATGAGTATTCATCAAGCTTAATCACTAGCTTTAGCTACCCATTTCCAAAGTTGATGCACGAACCTTACTGATATCTGGTCCTATGCTGAGGTTAAATGGGCCCTCACTGAAGTCATTTAACTACCATAAGTTCAGAAGTAATGTAAAGTGAAAGTCTCTTATAACAAAAGCAATATCCCTATGACACAGAAAATTCCAAGAGTTTTGTAAAAGGAACCAGGGACAAAGACAAAACACACACACACCAAAAAAAAAAAAAAAAAAAAAAAAAAACATTTTTTTTTAAATTACAGAAGTTATTTCTTATCCTCTAGGGATGTATTCCAAGGTAGATGCCTAAGGCCAAAGACAGGGGTCCAGGGAGATGACTCAGTAGAATAAGAGCTTCCCTGGCAAGCGCAAAGGCCTGAGTTCAAACTCCAGTTCCACAAAAATAAATAAATAAATAAATAAAAATTAAAAATTTAAAAAAAATAAAATTAAATTTAAAAAAAAAAAGCCAAGGCTGGGGAGATGGCTCAGTGGAATAAGCGCTACCCTGGCAAGCACAAGGGTTCAATCCCGGGCCCGCAAAAAAAAAAAAAAAAAAAAAAGGCAAAAACAGTACTGAATCCTCTATACATGAACTGCAGTGCCTCAAAACTGATTCGTGCTACTAACTGAGAAGCTCACTAACAGGCGGGTAGTATATACACCACGGATACACTGGACAAAGCAATGACACATGGCAGAGTAGAGCAGGATGACACAAGATTTCAACACACTATTCAGAATAGTGTGTAATTTTAAACTTATGAATTGCTTATCTCTGGAGTTTTCCATGTAATATTTTCAAGCCCAGACTGACCATGAAACTGTGGAAAGAAGAAGCATTCCTAAGGTTGAATTGCTGTATGCCGCAGTGACGTTCAAAAATTCAAGCAATTATAAAACAGGTGGGATAAAGGCAGTGCAAAAACAGTGCCAACAGTCAATGAGTAAAGTTCAGGAACACAAGGCGCTGGGGCCCAGCTGGAGTTCAGTCAGCTTCCTTGGCTTTGCCCACCAGGCCTATCTGTGCAAGCTGCTAACATGGGGCCCACTAAGCCTGTGTCTTCATTGGCTCTCACACACCAGTCCCTGGTCCCAGCCCTGAAGCCCTCTTCTCCTCTGCAGTCAAGATACTTCATGTATCCTTCATGGAAGGCCAAGCTGCACTGCACAGTCCTGGATCTCTTAGCTGTCAACACACACCCTCCTTTTAAGTACCCTCTAGTTATTTCTTGATTATATTTCAGCTTGCCAGCCAGTTTTTCCCCAGTCCTGGGGATTGAACTCACAATTCTGTGCAAGCTAGGCAAGCACTTTCCCACTGAGCTCCATCCCCAACGCCTCTCAGCCAGTTTGGAAGTTTTGTATAAGTGGAAGTCATATCTATATTTTTCCCAGGCATGGAGCTGGGCAGGATTCAGAACTGGAAGGGATCAGGAATAGGTATAGTTCCTAGGCCACAGCCATAACAGCTAGTTACCTACTTCAAGTTAATGGCCTACTAATGACTTGCCTATTTCTATGAGAGGCATTATCAGTAATAAGTGTTGGGGGGTCTGAAAACCGTTCAAAGGCTTCCTCCATGTGTCTCTCAGTTTAGTCTCCAGGAGTGAGTATCCATAAAGGTCTTGTTTTCCACAGCAAAGAAACGGTACCCTTTCCACGATGCAAAAACCCAGAAAAGGCTCTTGGATCCCTTATGTCCATCCTTCCTTAGCCTGATTTCCAACATTTCTAATATAGTGAGTAAAATAACAGACTGATACAGTATGTGCGTGGGAAGGGTAGAATAGGTATCATTTAACTTTCAAGACTTTCAAAAACAGACATCTTGGACTCGGGGGCACAATAACATTCTCTAAAATAAATAGAATAGGAATGCTGGATGGCAAATAGCCGCATGCGCTCCAGGAATAGCAGGAACAAGCTGTTCTGTGCTGATGGTTCCTGAGCCAGTGTTTTTAACACCCAGTGACATTAACTTCGCATCTTAATCAAGGCCGGGCACTCTCAGCAGCCCTTAAAGCATTACCTCCCCAAGAAATCACTCTAAGTACCCTCAGATTGAAAAAAAAATAATAATCCTAGGCACCATAAATTGCACTTAGCAACTACCCAACCATATTATTTCCTTCCTGCGTAATGTAATTTTTGTTTTCTCATATAAAGGACTTTGGCTATTTAAAAAAAAAAAATTATCCTCCCTCCTGAATTAACCTGGCTTTTATTTAACAATCAAAGAACAAGAGTGAAGTACTTCTATAACTACCTTGTAAGTAAGCAAAGGTAAAGATTTTCTTTCCTAACCATTTCAAATGCAAATTGTGCAGTCGGGAGGTATCAGATTGTGGAGAGTGGAGGAGCAGGAGGAGAAAGCCTTACCGAGAGCGCTAAGCCTTGCAGTACACCCAGCAAACAAGTGTCATCATTGAGTGACAACACAAGTCGTCCCTTCAGGGTTCCTCGTTTCTTAGTCATTGTCTCGTTTATGCAACAAATAATTACAGGAATCACTGAACAAGCCTGGCAACAGCCTCGCCCTCACAGGCTTACAGTCTAAACCTAGATGGTTTCATTAATTCATTCCACAAATAATTATTTCATTTTTCCCTAAATCTTGAGCTTTTGCCATATAGGAGACTTGGAGAACCATCATCGGGAAAAACATGGCAAGATTCTGTGTTCAAGACATTACTTCTAGGGTAACAAAACGAATAAACAAAATGACCTCGAGGGTTAAGTATCAAAAGAATGCCACAGGATGTCGTGATGAGTGGACTAGGCGCGGGAGATCTGCGGAGGAAGGACGGTGCCGAAAGACCTAGGGAATGAAGTTGCCGCTAGAGGTAGCGTGGTGGCTGGCGTTGTCTTTGTCGGGCTCCACCATGGCCTACCGGGGTCAGAGCCAGAAAGTCCAGAAGATGATGGTGCAGCCCATCAACCTCATCTTCAGATACTTACAGAGCAGATCCCGGATCCAGGAGTGGCTGTATGAGCAAGTGAATATGCGGATAGAGGCTGTGTTATTGGTTTTGATGAGTACATGAACCTCGTATTAGATGATGCAGAAGAAATTCATTCTAAAACAAAGTCAAGAAAACAACTGGGTCAGATCATGCTGAAAGGAGATAACATTACTCTGCTACAGAGTGTCTCCAACTAGAAATGATCAATGAATTCAAACAGCAGGGAAGTGAGGCAATGACAACTATGATGCTATGTAAAAAGGCAACTGTTTAAGTGGTTTGCCCTGGGAGTGTTTGTAAAACATTTGTTCATATTGTTTTGACTACCCTTATGTTTTTACTGAAGGCCAATAAATGCAGAGTTGTTTTTATTTAAAAAAAAGAAAGAAAGAAAGAAAGAAAGAAAGAAAGAAAGAAAGAAAGAAAGAAAGAAAGAAAGAAAGAAAGAAAGAGACAGACAGACCTAGGGACGGGGGCTACGAGAAGCTACCGCGTCCTCTCGCTGAGCCAGCAGTCAGGCTGACCGGGGAACGTGCGTTTCCCCTCCGCGAGATTGCCAGTTTGCGGGCAGGTGGAATGGGCACCGGGCACGTCGGTCGGCCAGCCGGTATGGTTGACTGCCTTCCGCCCCACAGGTGCCTGAATGAGACCAGGGCTGGGAGCACTCTCAAATCTGAAGCCACCGAAACTTATTTGAGGGGCCGGGGAGATGGCTCGGTAGAATAAGCGCTTGCCTAGCAAGTGCAAGGGCTTGAGTTCAATCCCCGGTTCTGCAAAAGAAAGAAAGGAAAGAAAAAAAAAATGGAATTTATTTGGATGAACTCCATAAACACCATCCCTCCAAGGCCGCAGGCCTCCCGACCTGCGCCCACCCCGCACAGCGCAGCCAACTGCGCCGCGTCCCGGGCGCCTACGCAAAACAGCGCCTGCGCAGCGTGGCGCCCGCCGGCGGGAGCGCTCTACCGAGCTCTGCGCCGGCGCGCTGCGCTCGCTCGCGCAAGGGGCGGGTCTTGCGCTACTTGTGCCGCGCGCAAGGGGCGGGGCTTGGTTGCGCCGCGCTAGACCTGCGCTGGCCCGGCCGGGATAGGGCGTAAAGCGCGCGTCGGGACGTCCTCGCGCCGGCCTCACGGCGCCTGCGCGCTGCGGTGCCGGCCGGGTAAGGGGCGGGGCCGCAGCACCTCTGTGCCTCATTGTCCCGAGCGCCTCCGAACACCGAGCGGGCCGCCGGCACTATGAAGATCTGGACTTCGGAGCATGTATTTGAGTGAGTCTGGGACGCTCCGGGTCAGGAGTGGAGCGAGACAGAGACGACCTCAGGGAACTTCCCGACGTCGGGCCTGGCGGGGGAGCCGAGCCTGGGCCCCAGGGAGCGGAGGAGGCAAGGTCACGACCCCGGGGCCCGGAAGTGCGGTGCTGGCGGGCCGGGGGCGCCGGCGTCGGGGCTGGCGGGCGGAGTCTCCGGGAACGTAGGGGGCGTCGCGTGGCACGAGGCCCTCGACAGCTCTCAGGACTGCCACTTCCGGCCTCGAAAAGCCCATTTGGGGCGGGAACCGACGGGTCCCAAGAGAGGCGAGGTTTTCTCTTGAATCCAGGAGCCGCAGCCTCCATCTGGGTGACATTTCCAGTCCTGAACGTGAATTTCAGGTGAACTGGGGCCACCAGGATGCGAAACCTTGATGACAGCTCGTTCACCTGAGGAACACAGAACCTTGGTTTTGGAGTCCAAGGCCTCGCTCTGGCTCCAGCAAGCTTGTAACCTTGGTTTCCCGTTTATGTCTGAAATGGAAGATGAGGTTTGGTTAGGGTCTGCCTGTGTAAGATCTCTGGGACCAAGATGAGGTTTGGTTAGGGTCTGCCTGTGTAAGATCTCTGGGACCATATTCAGTTTTGGTTATCGTGAATTTTATCCGTTTTGTTCTGTTTTGAGACAGGGTCTCCGTATGTACTTCAGACTGATCTTGAACTCATTGGGTAGCCCAGCCTGGTCTCGCACTCACTGCAATCCTCCTGCCTCAGCCTCCCGAGTGTTGGGATTACAGGTGTGCACGGTCACACCTGGCAATTATCAGACTATCCTGAGATTTAGTAACAAAAGAAGCTTTAAACCAGTGGAATACTGTAAATTATCTTCAGGATCCACAATTTCACATACTGGGGACGAGGAGATGGTTCAGTGGAATAGGTGCTTCCCTGCCAAGTGCAAGGGCCCTAGTTCTAATTCCCGATTCTGCCAAAAAAAAAAAAGTTCACAATTTCACATACAAAAAAAAAATCACAAATACAAGCAGCTATGATATCTTTGGCCCAAATAAATGGGTAGTCAAGAGTAACTCCTCCACTACTCTTATTGACTGACTCCCACTGATTTTTTTTTTCTTTGTTTGAGGGGTACTGAGGCTTGAACCAGGTTTCACACATAGTATGCGAGTGCCTTACCACCAAGCCATAGCCCCAGCCCAACTTCCTCTGATGTGAATGCTACTGTTGGTGATTTATATTTCATTCCGTTTCTAAGCGATCTGCATTTGGCTCATGTTGCTGCTGTTACTGCACTGTTTTAATCATTATCACTTTGTGGTATATTTTAGTGTAGGCATTTGAGTTTTAAAAAGTATTTCTAGGGCTGGGGAGATGACTCAGTGGAATAAGCGCTTCCCAGGCAAGCACAAGGGCTCGAGTTCAATCCCCAGTTCCGCCAAAAAAAAAATAAAATTTTTAAAAAGTATTTCTAGGGGGCCGGGGAGATGACTCAGTGGAATAAGTGCTTCCCTGGCAAGTGCAAGGACCTGAGTTCAATCCTCAGTTCCACCAAAAAAAAAAGTATTTCTACAGGGGCTGGGGAGATGGCTCAGTAGGATAAGCGCTTGACTGGCATACTCAGGGATCTGAGTTCAATCCCCAGGGTGGGGAAATAGCTCAGCGGTATAAGTGCCTGCCAGACAAGCACAAGGTTCTGAATTTGATCCCTGGTACAAAAACAAAACAAGAAAAACCAAAAAACTTAAGTATTTCTGGGGGCGGTTTTAAAAGAAGTCATCCAACAAATAAATAAATGAAGTCATCCAGGTGTGGTACATGCCTGTAATCCCAGCACTCAGAAGGCTGAGGCTAGAGGATTGCCATGAGTTTGAGGCCAGCCTGGGCTTCAAAGCAAGACCTTGCCTCCAAAAAAAAAAGGTGTTGATGTAGATCGGACCCATCGTAAGAGCCCACTGTTTCCTGGAAAAAACAGACTATTAGAACCAAAAGGGAAGGTTTCTTTTTTCCTTAATTTATGACCTTTCTTAAGGGGAAAACCCCAAATCTGTAGTCTTCCTTGTGTCCTTTAGTCACTTGCTTCACTAGTCCCTGTCAATATCTGAACCTCAGTTCTCTTCCTGAGGTGAACTTGGCTCTGATTCTCTTGATTTTTTTTTCTTTTAAGGACATATGTTTGCCATACATAATCATTGTTTGTTTTGGGGAATTGGCACGTGTGTATAACATACCTTGGTCATTTTCCTTTCCTTTACCCCCTCTGTAACCTATGCCCTTTCCATACCCCATCTCAAAAAAAAAAATTTTCCGCAATTCATTTCAAAAAGTTTTTTGTTTCATACCATCTTGCCTTTGTTTTATTTTCATTTATATTTTAGATTTTCTCATCTAAAGGAAACTGGGATAGTTTACTATGTCTGATTTATTTCACTTAACATTATGGTCTTAAGAGCCATTGATTTTTATCCAAATGATGTGCTCCCCTTCATTTCATGGCTGAATTCATTTGTATACTTACAACTCCCACACACATACACAGAAACGCAAAGTCTGCCCAGAAAATGTACACGTACTTCAATAAAGAATACCTTGTATAAATACTTTAATATTAAATTTATTGAGATATCATGAGATTGATACAAGCTCCCTTTGGCCTCTATTACTGCAAGAGTACTCAAAGTAGAGGCCATTAACTTCCAGGCATATATTGGTATGATGAACTGCACCATCACCATATACTGGTCAGCATTTTCAATTCCTTCTCTAAGGGCCAGTAGTGCAATGGGTTTTCTTTAATATATGACATCCTTTAGGGTCCCCCATATGAGGATAATGCCATCTGTTGGAAAAAAAAAAAATCATAACTATTGGGGGCCAGGGAGATAGCGCAGTGGCAAGCGCAAGGTCCTGAGTTTGATCCCTGGTACCACCAAAAAAAACATACTGTTTTTCTTAAACTGTATACACTTTTTTGGCAGTCTATACATAGCTCACATTTTCTTTTTCCAGTTGTCTGTTGATGGACAGCTAGATTGTTTCCATAGTAAAGTTGGGCAGGCATGCATGTGTCATTATAGTATAATGTCTTCAACTCCTTCAGGCATATACCCAGGAGTGGCACAGCTGGCTCAAAGAAAATTTCTACTTTTAGTCTTTTCAGGAATGTCCATACTGATTTGCCTAGTATTGTACTAGCTTATATTCCCACCAACAATGTAGAGGGTTCCTTTTCTCCCTTATCCCCGCCAGCTGTTTTTTAATGATGGCCATTTTGACTGGGGAAGACAAAATCTCAAAGACATTGCATTTCTGTAATAGCTGAAGATGATGCATATTTTTCTCATGTATTTATTGACTGTTTGACTTTTTTTGAAAAGTGTATATTTACTTCATTTGCCCATTTTATGATTGGGTCACTTGTTTTGGGGACATTAGGTTCATTTTGAATTCTTTATATAGTCCAGATACTCTTGTCAGAAGATTATTTGGCAAAAATACTTTCCCATTTTGTAGGTTGTCTTTTGATTGTTACTTTTGCTGTATAGAAGCTTCTTATTTTTCTATAATCCTATTTGTTGATTCTTGACATTATTTCCTGTATTGTTGGAGTTCTATGCAAGAAGTCCTTGCCTGTGCCTATGATTTCAAGTGTTTCCCCTTTGTTTATCATCCAACAGTTTTAAAGTTTCTTTTTTTTTTTTTTTTTTTTTTTTTTTGATACAGGGTCACGCTACGCAGCTTGGACTCGTAGTGATCCTCTTGTCTCAGCCCCCCCAAGCACTGGGATTACAGGCAAGCGCCACCATGTCCGGTTTCAGGGCCAGCACAGCATGCGGCACTGGAGATTGACCTCGGGTCCTTGCATTTGCCAGGCAGGCACTTAGACCGCCAAGCTATCTCCCCAGCCCTAAAGTTTCTGTTTTTGTATTTAGGTCTTTAATCATTCTTAGCACTCTCTTCTCTTTAGCATGTCCCCACTCCCCTCACCTCTTCTAGTACTCTCTTTTTTGTCACAGACCTCATAGAAGTTTGATGTAAGCTCTTGTATCTTCCTTCTACATTCAAATAAATGCTGCCCATGTATCAGGAAAGGAAGCTCTGCTTGAGCTTTTTCTCCAGATGGTTTGGGCTACACAGTTAAGGTCCCATCTAGACACTGGCATTCGTAGCACTGAGCACCAGCCAGTCTTGAGCTTCAAATCCTTATTCTCAAGTCCCACCACACACCTGAAACCACTACCCACGTATCCAGAGATTCACCACACTGAGCTTCCCTGACGCTGAAGGCATAGTGGCCTCTCACAAGTCTTCTCACTCTTAACATTTTCATGATAGTCTCTAAAACACCTAGCATCATTCTATGTTTTAGCCATCCTTGATTTTTTTCCAGCACTACTTCCTCTTGAGACCTGGCATAAAGTTGGCATTCATTTTTGTATTTTACAGGATCTTACTACATAGCTCAGACTCATACTGATCCTCCTCTTTCCAGCCTTCCCAGCACTGGGATTACAGGCATGCGCCATAATGCCCAGTCTCTGTGGCTAGCTCAGTGCACCCAAAGGCAAGGCAGTTGCGGCATGTGGTGCCAGGGATAGAACCCCAAGCCCTGCACTTGCCTAAGCAGGAACTTGGTCCACTGAGCTGTCTTGCCAGCCCAGTTGGCATTCATTTGAAGTCAGTCATTGATTCCTTCATCATACAAGAATGCTGTGGCAGGTGTGGTGGCATACCTGTATTCCTGGCAGGAGGATCGCTATTGAGTTTGAGGCTGGCCTGGACCACATGACAAGACTCTTATCTTTAAAAAAAAAAAAAAAGCCCAGTATGTGCTAGGCCCTGTTCTTTGGACTCATACGTTAAGGAATTTCAGACACTTAGTGCTTCTATACAGTTCACCAAGTCCACACCTCATCTTACAAGTGGAAAAATTGTGTAGGTTCTCTTAATTCCACTTTGGTGGCGTCTTTTCATGTCTTCTAGTGTTAGGTATTTTTTTCATATAATTAAGTTAAAACTAATTGTTGGAAGTCTATTAATCATAGTGTGTATCTTTTGTAATGGTTGATCTAATTATGTTTCATAAAGCAGTCTTAGTCCAACCTAAGTCAACATAGATGTTTTCAAGTTGGCTTAGAAAACAGAGATAGCCTAAATTACAAATAATGCACAAGCACCCTGAAGCCATGTGGTTATTTATTTTTTAGAGGAGGCAGTGGGAAGAGATAAGCGCATGGAAGCCAGCTAACCATGGTATATGACTAGATGGACAGGAAAGAAGTTCATCTGATTTTCATTTTAGATAGTTGCCTTGGTAACAATCAAGAGTGCTTGGCCTGTATCATTTCAGTTTGTGAGGATGGTTTAAATTTATGAAGCTATTCCACTTACATATCTGAATTGATTACTCAATAAAGCTTGAGATTAAAAACAGAATAAGGTTAATTTATACAATATTATAGAGAAAATGAAGACATTAAAAATCATGTCACTGATTGTCCAGGGTTCTGGAAAATTAATGGAGTTGAGGTTTTCCTTCTGTTAACAAGATGTAATTGTCAATCTCAGTTCCCTGAAAAGTTGAAATAGATTAATGTCTGCCCTTTTGCTTCTACAAAAATAAAAAGTAATACTGTATGGCTTATATAATCAATGTAGATTAAATATCATCTCCAGACCTCATCTTTTTCCTGTAGAATGAGGACAAGAAGTTGAGTATGGTAGCTTATACCTATAATCCCAGATACCTGGGAGGCTAAGGCAGGAGGGCCCCAAATATAAACCTAGTCTGGGCACTTTGGCAGTTGAGCAAGACCCCATCTTAAAATTCAGAAAAGGCTGGGTTTATAACTCAGTTGGAAGGCTATGAATTCAATTCCCAGTACCTCAAAGATAAGTGAAAGAAGAGAAGAAGGATAAGTAGTGTGGCAGGGTTAGAATCAGACCGCACGTAGACTAAACCACCTTTAATACTAATTGTAGTTAAAAAGGGTTTCTTTAGAAAAGGATGCAAGAAAATAAAAACTGCAAGTTCTCAACTGATGTGGGATTACAACTGTTTAAACCTTAGGTGATAATCCCTATTAAGAGAGATTATTTGTGCCATGCTGGCCTCACACCCAGGGTGTGCTGAGACAGCAATTGAGATTGGGCACAGTGGCACACCTATAATCCCAGCTTTTGGAAGACTGAAAACAGGCAGATCACTACAAGTCCGATCTAGTAATGAGACCCTGAACACCCTGTAGACCCTTCCCTAAAAATTAAAAAAAAAAAAAAGAGCTTATTAGAAAGTGGCATATTGGGAGCGCCTTAATAACATATTGAGTGACCCTTTTTAAACAGTCACTTCTTTGAGGAAAACAATGGCTATTGACTGGTAGGACCACTGGTACACTAATAGAAAAAATTTTGATAACTCTTGATAGTTACAGACTTTGTAACCCCTGTAACAGTGTACAGTGCCTACTGTAAGAAAAAGACAATGTCTGTAAGTTCTTTTACTCCATAACTTCCTAAAGTTGTCATCAAAGGATCATACTTTCTTTGCTGTTTTTCTCAGAAGACCCTAAGTTTTTTGTGGCAGTACCAGAGATCAAACTCAGGACCTTGCACTTGCCAGGCAGGCACTTACACCACTGAGCTATATCCCCGGCCAAAGAACTAGTTAATTTTTTTTTTTTTTTTTTTTTGTGGAACTGGGGGTTGAACTTAGGCCCTTACATGTGAAGCGATTAGTCAGGAAACTCTCCTGTAGGTCATTTGTTCTTTATAGACGTCATTTGTTCTGTATGGCCTCTATTCTAGAAAAATATTGAAGTTTGTGCACATTAAAAATGTTAATCAGCCTCCCAAAATCATCATTCAGCCAGTGTTGCAGAAAGTAATTTTCCCTAGGTAAACTCATTAAGTTCCATTGTAAAGAATGATTTGATGGCTTATAAAAAGTTATTTAATTCATATGCATATTTCTAACAATTTTCAATTTGTGTTGGCAGCCACCCGTGGGAAACTGTTACCACAGCTGCGATGCAGAAGTACCCAAACCCTATGAACCCCAGTGTAGTCGGGGTTGACGTGCTGGACAGACACGTCGATCCTTCGGGCAAGCTGCACAGCCACAGACTTCTCAGCACCGAGTGGGGGCTGCCTTCCATCGTGAAGTCTGTAAGTGTGTCCTGACTCCCAGAGAAATGCGACTGCGTAGAGAAGTTTCCTAAACCACATTATCATTTCAAGTAGGTTGTGGGAGCTGATTCCGAATGTCATTTTTGCATCAGTTCAAATTGTATTACAATCAACTTGAGTTATGAGTGTATAATGAATTGGAAATATTATTACAGTCTTCATGAAGGCATTCGATAAAACCTTCTGAAGGAAGCCAACCAGTGCTCTGAAATCTAAAAGGAGTTATTTTGTTTTCCCTGCTTTTTCTGGCAACCTGAGACCAATAATAAGATTTAGCATCACTGGTCTGATCATGACTGCTAGGCAACAGTTGCTGTGGACAGTGGTGGGTTGTGTACATTGTGTAAGGTGAATATTCTCAGGTTTGCTCTTGTCACCTTTATTCCAGAGTCAGGTATTCCTTCCTATACACTGAGAAACATTTCTATTCAGTTACAAACAAGCAAGCTCTAAAGAGCTAATTTAATAGCAAGAAACTAGAATGCTGATTTATTGTAAATGAAAAAACTGCTCTGATAAGTGAATCCAGGTCTCTATATAGCTCCGCCCAGAAACTAAATACACATTTGTCAACAGTAATTGATGCTTTGTACAGAGCATGGCATTTGATAATGTAGACAGAGAAATGAGTGCAGTTTGATGGGCTTAGGGCTCACAGCACAGGGTATGACCCTGGGTGCTAACGTGTGCTCTCCACCGTGAGCTAGCCGTCTCACTGTCTGGAGAAAGCAGCTTCGAGGACTTCTCCTTGGGCAGCTCTGGCAGATACTGACAGACCTCTTGAGTTCTCCCTTTTCTAGATACCAAATTTCTCTAACTCAGATTTCTACATTTCCACTTCATACTTCCTGCTCACACATGGGTGGTTACAGCATTAGATAGACTTTCCCTCTGACCTTTGTCTCTTTCCCATTTTTTTCAAAACATTTTTTTGTTGTTGTTCCACAAACTGTACATTTGTACCTTGAAATACCATATTGGTAAACTTAGTTAAGAAATCTTTAAGTAAAATAAAATTTTTTAAAAAATCCTTTCTCTCCTTACTAATTCCAAATGTTTTATTTAGATTATTGGTTCAGCAAGAACCAAAACATACGTGCAAGAACATTCTGTAGTTGATCCTGTGAAGAAAACAATGGAACTCAAATCTACTAATGTAAGTGCAGGCTCTCTTTGCTTTAATTTGGAACTGTTTAGCTTGCTCTTTTTTTCCCTCATATAGTTGACAGGTAAATGCGTGTATGTTCTTCACTATGTAAACAAAAAGTCAGTATTCAGAAGCTGTGTTGTGTTTACCCTGTTAACTTTAAGCCTCATCACTGCCATGGACCTGCCTCTTCCAAAAGCTGTCACTCAATAAAGAGGATTTGGGTTCATGGCCATGTGATTATTTTATTATTATCACTATCATTTCCTTGAATTTACTTTTAATAAGAAAGTAAATATGAAAAATGATGCTATATCTATGAATATTTGATATCATTAGTGAAACGTAATGTATATTTGCAGAGCAGTGTCAAATATTTAAGATATATTTGCAGTTATTAGTTGGTTTTACTGTTTTGTATGTTGAAATAGTAAGACTTTGGTTCATGTGTTAATTTGAGAATTGTTTTTAATCTCCATTTCCAAAATGACAAACTTCTCCCCCCATTCTATAGATTTCTTTTACAAATATGGTTTCAGTAGATGAGAGACTTATATACAAACCACATCCTCAGGACCCAGAAAAGTGAGTAAAAAGTTAAGGCTTATTTTACAAATCTTTTTTTTTTAATGAATTTTTTTATAAAATGAAAGTTGGGTCATCTGAACTGTGGCTGTGCTTTATGCCAGGACTGTCCTGACTCAGGAAGCCATAATCACGGTGAAGGGAGTCAGCCTGAGCAGTTACCTGGAAGGACTGATGGCCAGCACAATATCTTCCAATGCTAATAAAGTGAGTAGGCTGCTTCCTCATTGTTTAGTATTGCCCAGTTCATTTCCTGGAAGAGCTTGTGCTGAGTATGTGTTTGTCCTTGTAAGCTGATTCTCAGCCACTCTGCAGAGCAAAGAGAGCGAGCATTAGGCAGCTGTTTGCACAGGCTCTAGCCAGCACACCTGAGCTCACCTGCGAGCTCCAGCCTAAGCAGCTCTCAGCCACGGGCAGTAAACTGGACTCTGAGCCTCAGTTTCCATCTGTGATGTTGAGATCATCCTCTTGCCAGGTTGGCATGAAGTAACACTGCAGGTGTGTGGCCCTGGGTTCTGCACATAGGACGTACTTAATATGTGGTTATCACTGCTTCAAGCTTTGTTTCTCAGCTTTTTCTTATTACCTCCTCCATTAGGTTTAGACTTTTGTCCTAATTGGCACTCACAAAATTCTTTAATAACTATACTTAGACATATATATGCTTCATACATAAAAGAATGAAATTATGTTAGGTAAAGAGCTATAAAGAACTGCCTAATGCATTATTGTTTAAATATATTTGATAAAATTATTCGACAGTCGAAGATATTCAGAGATACTTTATGCCAAGCAGAGTGCTAGGCTAGACTGGGGACATAGATAGAGCAGAGAGCAAGGCAAATGTCTGTGAAATTAAGAACAAAGCAACACTGTTCCTATACCACGTCACTGAGAAAAGGAAAGACAGGTATGAAAGTATCTGGGTGTAATTCCGCCGAGTGCTGAATGGGTGGGTGGTGGGTTGCTTGTGAGGGGTGTGTCGGAAGATCATTCTCGCTGGGAGAACTGCATGTGCAAAGGCCCCGAGCCAGGAAACAGCATGCGCCTCTGCTCCTCAGAGAGCTGCGGAGAGCACCAGAGGGGTAAGGAAGCAGTCCCAGACCGGGTCCTTGGCAGCCTTGTACAGGACTTTGACTTAAAATGTAGACATTAAAAATAAACTACAATAAAATAATGTGGACTTAGAGAGGTTGACTAACCATGAAATAAATAAGACATCCTGTCACTTAATTGTAGATTGATTGGAGAACATCTTTTGCTTACAAAATAAAAGTCAGTTTATGGATCAAGCCAGTTGTTCAAGGCCTTTGATATTTGGTAAATAATATTAGAAAAGAGAGCAAGGACAAGAGTAATCTGTCCTTATGAGACTTAGTTACCCTTAGAACACTCCCTGTTACTTCCTTGTGTGTCATTGGTTTGCTGCATGCCTTTGTTACCACTCAGTAACGATGAATGCATTGGATCTTTTTAAGGGCCGAGAAGCAATGGAATGGGTAATACGTAAATTAAATGCTGAGATTGAAGAATTGGCAGCTTCAGCAAGAGGAAGCATAAGGACACCCATGGCGGCGGCGGCTTTTGTAGAGAAATGATAGAGAACATTGGTACACAGCGCCAGGTCTCTCCAAGCTGACAATGTATTTATTTGTTATTTTTTAAAAAACAACTATATTTTAGGTCGATTTTTTTTTTATAAACTGGAGTAAAGCTTTGTGATTTTCATCAAAACATAAAGTACAGGTGTTGTAAATCACAGGGATCATCTGATGTGAGTATAACTTGAAATAACTAATTGTTAGGGTTGCAGTATTTATTGAAATGTAACTTTTTATAAAAGCACTAGGAAAAATTAATATTGACAGTGAGTCTTCACAAGGTGGAATATTGAAGCTTTTCAGACAGCAGGACTTTCCCTGCTGTGGACCAAGCAGAGCCGCCTTTACACGCACAGGTTGCTGTGCTGCTGCAAACTAGACCTGGGGGGTACTTAAAAGGAGGGATCACATAGTTGTAAAAGACATTAATTAATTTGTATAAAATAACTTGCTGTGCTAGAAACCACCGTGTTTTGATCGAGTACTTAAATGACAGTTTTGGAGTAAAATTATCACTACAGTAATATGGCTCCAACAGAAATAATTATTTTATTTTATTAAAGGGAACTATTAGTTTGCCAAAAGATTTGTGACTTGGAAAAGGCATTACCTTCCTTGGGTTTGTACTTTGTGACATAGCACACTATGCCTGGGCTGGTTCTGCCAACTAAAAAAAGTCGTTACCTGAGTTCTGCAGCACCCTTCAACAGAAGACCCCTTAACACCTGAAACAGGAGCCGCTGTTCACGTCTTGGAGCGCTCACATGTGCTGAACTTACACACTGCCATGTGTCAGAGTCGTGGTTCTGTAATTACAGAGGCATGATATGCCAGGCTCCTTGAATATAATTACTTTCTGAAGTAATGGTGACCACAAAACATCTTTTTTACCTGAGCTGCACATCATTTGAAATTCCTCAAATGGGATCTCGATGTGAAGCATAAATCCCGGGTACTTAATGCTTTTAATAATATGGTACCAAGGAGGGGCGTGGGGACGCCGGGG